TGGAATGCTGCTTCTCCCATATGCTTTGTGCATGCGTCAACTCTGAATCTAGTACTGGTTACTGAGATTGATGGGGTGGCATAAAAATAGTCTGACTCCTCTAGGTGTAATATTTCCACTTAAAGGGTTTTTTTTTTTTTTTTTTTCCTTCTCTTGGGATTCGGCGTTTTATGAGGAAGCCACGTACTGCTTTTGGCAGTGTTGTGTGGCATATCCGAGGTTGACCCAGCAGCTCCTTGGGTTCAGTCAATTTAGCAAGTTGAGGATTTTAAGAAAAAAAGCAGATGAAATGTTATTATGTAGCTGCTGACATACTGGCATCATCAGGGTACAGTTTTTTAAGTATCTGGTGGTGCTGAGAGATCAAAGAGTTAAAAATTCCAAAGGTTTAATCCAGTATAATAACGTTTTGTAAGGCCTATCAAATTCACAGCAAGTGAGAAGCAGAAAAGCAACTGAGCTAGGTGGAAAATGAAATTAGTTGGAATTATACTGCCACAGGTTTATCTAGCTAGTTGTTTCACTTAGCAGGGTAGACACGCGTTTATCTGAGCCCTCAACAGAAGCTCAGACCAAGTTGTGCTCCCCTGCTCTCCCAGGCGGTATTATCCACAGAAATGGAGTGCCCTTCATCCGATTTGAACAAAGCAGTATTCTGCTGTATCTATTTTTGGTCACTGATTTGTATGCTGTAGAAGCCATCTCATTCCTTAGAATACAGCCATATATTGTTGTGTTTGTTTTCCTTTTGCTGCTGTGTACATAGTGGATTGTTGTTCGTTTGTTTGACAGATTTAAACATCTGGGAGAGACCGGGGATAGCTATGCCTTTGTACATAGGTTAGGTGGGGAGCTGCAGGTCCCTTCCAAAGTGAAATGTTATATGCCATGTACTGTGATGCTCATTTGTATACTTGAGGGTTTTGGTGTGGGAAGGACAATCAATATAACGCTAATCCAAGCAGCTGGATAAAACTACTGCTGCTAAAACTAGCATGAGGTAAAAATGGATTTATTTCCCTAGGTAGTTCTGCAGTTGCTTCCCACGGAGGTAATACCAAATATAAATTTTGGAAGTAAATATTTATAAGCAATAAACGTAGCTGAGTTTGGGTGAGTAGTGGGAGCAGTCAGTTTTTACTAAAATTTGTCAGTAAATGATGCACATAGGGCAGATCTCACTGTGAGAAATTCAGTTCCCCTGTAACGTAGGCTTTGCAATATTATTTGGACACAAACAAATCCAGTTATAGCCCAAATCTAGACAATAGGTTATCACAGATGAAAAGAGTAAGTAGAAGGTGGGGAAAAAAAAGAAAGGATAAGTTTGTCTGTAGTGCAGCCCCCTTCTAGTGAGTGGAAGGTTACTCTGAAAGGAGCCCTCATGGCTTTTACCAGACTGTTTGGAGACCAATGCCGTAGCCACAGAAGAGCGGTTATTACGCTCTGGCTCAGTCTATTGCAAACAGTTTCTTTTCTGAGAAAGCTAATCGCTGTTTTGTTACATTACTTCCCAGCAGATGAGCCAGGCACTCCTGAATTTAAAACAGAACCATGAGTGAGTGACAGTGAGCTAAGCACAGGCTGGAGTCTTGTAGCAGCATATCCTTCAGCTCCAATGCTGCAGTCAGAGAGAGAAAGAAGATTTTTCCTTTGAAGATAAGACACCTGGGGCTTTTGTAGAAACTAAGTATGCCCCGAGTTGTGCAGCTGTTATCTCGATTTAAAAAAAAAAAAGGCAGAGAAAGACGAAGTGTCTGACTCTTCTATGCGCCACCAAAAATTCCTCAAAATGCTAAAACCCAAACCAGCTCTTTTCATTCTGCAGTTGTGTTGCTTGCGAATACTTCCCGTCTTGTGGCTTATGTGATACTTTCAGCCGAAGCAGCCTCCCAGGCGAGCCATGAGGCTGTGCTGTGTGCGTACGGGAGAGAGGGAATGCATACAGGAGTGTGCGTATGTATATGTATGAGCGAGGGAGCGAGAGCGTGTGTGTGCAGTGTCGTAACGTGGCAGGGCACAGGCAGTTATGAAACTTTCCAATAAAGTCTCAGTACGTCAGTATTGGTTGCTTGGGTTTTGGTGGGTGGTTGTGGTTTTTTTTTCTGTCCGTTGCCCTCCAGTTTCATTTCCATTTATGAGTGCAGAGAGAGAGAGGGACAGGTTGAGAAACGCTCGCAGACCCCCCCAAGCCACTGGAGGAGCCGAGCAGTTCCCACGACAGGTGGAGCACGCCGCCGCGGCACTGAGCGAGATTCCTGGGTCGTGGTGCCTGGGGACAGGGGGAGGGGAAGCCCTCGCTCTCGGGGCAGCTGCGGTTGAAGGGGCCCCTTCAAAGTGCTGCAGGAGCAGCCAGAAGTTTGACTTTTATTTTTTGAAAGGACTGGAGAAATTATTAACCACAGTTGATGACGTCAGAGTTGATCTGATTAAAGGTTTGTTTTCTTGCTGGCAGAGGTGTGCTCCGTAGAGACTGGTTCTCTCTTCTTTTTTTTTTAAGTTTCTTTTTTGAACAGCAAACGGAGGGAACTGCTCGCATTGCTGCTGCTGCTGCTGCCGCTGCTGCTGCTCCAGCTGCGTGTGTGTGTGTGTAAACAGGATGGTGTATCTGTAGCTGCCACGCGCAAACACACATTTGACCATGAGGACTCTTCGCAGGTTGAAGTTCATGAGTTCGCCCAGCCTCAGTGATCTGGGCAAGAGAGAGCAGGCAGCCTTGGATGAGCGGGGGACCCAGCAGCGACGGGCCTGCTCCAACGCTACCTGGAACAGGTAAGGTCTCTCACGATGTGCCGACTCCCCCGCTGCCTCTCCGCACTCCCGTGGCCGTGATTAACACGCGGGTCGCCGCTCCGTCAGCGTGCAGGCTAGGTTGCCTTGCTGCCAGCTCGGCAAGGTTACAGTACGTGGGGCTTCCGCGTTAGCGCGTTACACGTACTGGAGTTCGTGTTCAAGTAAAGGACGGGAGCAGCTTTTTTTCCTGTTGGTGTTAACCTTTCCCTGAAGGATGATAGCAAAGAGCCTTTCCTGCAGATTGCTCAGCCTGCTCTTCCTTGTGACGGACAAGGACTTATTTCACAGGGTCCAGCTACAAATATGTCTTTATGTCTATCTAGATATTCTCGGTCGAGGTTGATCTGGTTTATTTTAGTTTAAAAACATTTGTATATACACAGCTATTAAAATACATTATTTTTATCTGCATAACTGTATATATCTTGCTGGTCGTTGATACAGATATGACAAAGTCTACTCAATTTACTCACATTAATACAAATCTCTGTGCATGTGTGCATGTGCGCACGCAAGCACACGCACTTTGGACAGGGAAAAATAAGCCCTGATTGTTTTCTTTATTGTGTTTACACGTCTGAATTTTATTACTGTTTGAACAAAAAAAAAAACACCATGCAAACATTTCGTTGAGAATGTGTCACTTAGCACAGATATTCAGAAAGCATCTTAATGACCGTATTGTTGACACTCTTAAAGATGAGTCTAAGTCTCTTAAGTCGTTAGGAATTATATTCTTATGTCCTTTTTGAAAATGAAATGTCATCTCCTGGGTCACAGCTTGGAAAGCGTCATTTGTAATGCTTTATAATTGTATGGCGGTACAGCTGTAAGAAGAAAAATACCAGTGAACTATAGACACATTTGCTAAAGGTATTTGAGTTTTGAGCAAAACCAAAGAATTATAAAATACCACGTTTTGTCTCTCTCACCACCCAGTATGTGGTTTCATGCCTGCATTATGAATTAGTTATTTAATGCCAGCAGCACACCAAGCGCTGAAACTATACTGGTCACAAAAGAAACCAAGTTTCTGTTCAAATATCGTGCTCTTTATATGACCTGGAGTTGCCCCCGAGGTCTGGATGGTGGTGGTAATTAAAGGCTAGATTGGGCCACCTTGGCTTGTGCCAGTTGGGGCTTCACTTGGCCAGTAGCCCCATAGGGAGCAGCAGGGAGTAAGATACTCCTTGGTCTGAATCAAGATGACAGAATACAGTTCCCAAAGCCTTTTTGTGATGGTGTGCTGGCAGCTTTAGTTGGCGGGGATTAGTATTTCCAGGTCTTGCTTGCAGGGAGCAAGCTGTGGAGGCGGGTGTGAATGGAGAGCAGGTCAGGCCTGGGACTTCATGGGAGGGGGACGGCTCCAGGCTTAAGGGCTGCTGATACTCAAACCAGAGGGTTTTCCTAAGTGAGATGAGCAAGAGTTTGTTATTTTTAATTTGGACAGGGCAGGTATAGCTCTGGCCAGAAGTTGTTACCTGTCAGCAAGCTAGATTTCTGTGTGTTTCATCCAAACACTTAGACAGCTGTCCCATCGCCTGTTCCTGGAAGAGGTGTCCGTGAGTCATCCTGTCGCCGTTTTGTGTGAACGTAGGCCTAAACGCGCTTTCCTGCTGGGGATTGCCTTTTCCCTGTTCAGGGATCGCCGGGCCGTCCCTGCCGTTTGGTGGCACATGCCTCTGAAATGCCTTGGGAGCACCGGCAGAGCTGCTGTCGTGGGGTGGCAGACTGGTGGTACCTGCGATGGCAAGTCAACTGGACATCGCATGCCTGCAATAACAGCTGCCTAAAGCTATGCAAGTACTCCAGATTACGAGCCAGTCGCACTGCACGGGCAAAGGGAAGGCCCTTTATTTCTTACTTAATAGTGCAAGGCTTTCTCCTGAGTGGAAGACAGAGTGAGGGTAATTCTTCTTTCAAGTGCAAAACAACTTGTATCCTCTCTTGGTTTTAAGAAACTCAGATATTTTACAGGCTGTAAAACTGGAGCTTATCGTCAGGAAGGCCAGGGTTTAAATGATGTTGGATTAGTTGTGTTAAGAAGTTGGCCACTGTAGGTTCTACCTATCACCAGTGCACGCCCATCTTGGCATGTAAAACAGGGTCTGGTCTTGAGGGAGCTGGTGTTCAGCTCTCGTGGAGAGACTGTAATGTTGGTGTCACAAACTGAGCATCTAAACTCTGACTTACCAGAAATCTCAGGTGGGTTTTGAAAATCTTGGGCTGTAGAAGGTTTTTTATTTTTTCAAGCAAAATTAAAACACCCCAACAGGGGACTGTCATGCCATACTTTGGTTTATGGGAATATTTGTTCTTCCAAATGAAAGAATTGCCTGTGCTGTTGCGTTCTGTGCAATATCAAGCATAAGAGTTTGCTGATCAAGGAAGTTGAGATGCACCAGCAGAGCTCTTCCCTCTCACCAAGCCTGGCTGTTCTGTATTTAAATGTCTGCTGGTTTCTTGCCTGACGTTAGCAGCTGTGCCTGGGTGTGGCATGTGTGTATCTGCTTTTGAAAGAGGCTTTGAACCACGTTCATCAAAACTGATGTGGGGAGAGGTAAAGCACAACCCCAACCCCATGGCAAGGCCTTCCCCCACACAAGACTGCTGATCCCAATCCCATGCTGAAAGTCAGCCCTTTGAGGTGGAGCAAGGATGCTGCCTCGGCCCTGCCAGGGACCGTGCTGAAAAGCTGCCAAGCTGGAGTTTTGTTTGTGGGGTCTTCTGCAAGGTAGCAGCTCTGTCACCGTGGGCTTTGCCTGAGGAGGATGTGGCTTGTGTGTGGCTGCAGTCTGGTTGCCCAGCGATGTCCCCTTCGCTCTGTTCAGACCACTCTCAGCCCTCAGACTGCTTATACCAGAGGATGCCTGCTGCTTGCTGACACCGAGGGAGGGCAAACTGCAGGACCTTAATCGCAGGGTTTGGTGTGCGGGGGGCATGTAGCACTCAGTGCTAGCAAGGAAGGTCTCTTCCTCCCCGATAACTTCCCTTCACCTCCAAACTAAAATGCTGTAAAACTTCTCAACACCGTTAGATCAAAGGGAAATCGGTACCAAGCTGCTGTGTGCTACTATACAAATTAGACTTTATATCACGGCTTTTTCTGAGCTTGCTTTCCCATGAACCCCAAAAGATCTGTGCAGCAACACACCGGCAGTGCATGTTAACTAGCAACCAACAGCAACATAGTGGAACAATACAGTTTCGTTACAGCTCACAGAATTTGCATTGGATTAAAATAGCTTAGATTTTTTCCCTAGCATTGTCTTCAATTCCTTTTCTCCCCCCCTTTTCTGCTGCAGGCAAAAAATGAGGGCTGAATGCTGACTAAACCAATTGGACTGAGAAACCCAGAGTTTTTAATCTTGAGCTTGCAAGCCGGGGGGTGGGGGGGGCTCTCGGGGCAAATAAAATCTGTCGCAAGGTTTTCATTCTGACTGAGCTAGCACAGACTGCCTAATCAGGAGCCGATAGTGTCTGAGTTGTGCTGTGGGAAAGCCTCTAGTTGAATGTACTTAGATCCTCTTTGGTGTAAGAAAATGGGGAAAATTCACCGAAATGTGAAAGAGTATGAGATAGAAAAGAAAAGGTGAAGAAAACACAGATGAGATGCCTGTGACATTAGTGAGATCAGCAGTAAATCCAAGGAGACACATGGAATCAGAAAGAGTTTTATGGTTTGGGCTAATTTTTACAGGGTTGTAATAAGCACAATAACTTGCTGTAAAGTAATTTTTACAGTCATGGGAACCATATGTCATCTTCTAATTAAAAATGAGTGTTTTTTTAGATCATGGTGAGGCTTTTCTAATGGAGGAAACATTCCAGACCAGCATATTTATCTACTGCATCTATTCAGAAATTTCTTTCTTCCAATATTTAGTGTTTATTTAGAAATACTTTAAAATGTTTCCACTGCCTTGAGGATCAGCTTCTTTTTCCCGACCGTTTAATTGGAACCCTCTTTGGAGCTTTTGGCTGTGTGTGTGCATGGGGGGCAGACAGAGCCAAACTGTGGTATGGGGAGGAGAGATGGGGTGTGAAGGGGACTTCCCATCTGGTCATGCCACCACTGCTCCATGGAGCACATGCCAGCCTTCACTACAGTAATAGAAAGTGGTGGTGGTGGCAAATTGCTGCTCCCCGTAACCCTCTAGACATATTTATACTTGCTTGAATGCCGTATAATTGGAAGCCAAAATCTCCATAGCCCTATACTCCATAGAGATATTAACTCTTGGTAACACCTCAGGGAAGTCCCTTCACCTGTCTGTCTCAACTTCTTCATACGTAATGGTAGTGTTTATGATTGCTGAAGTTTGTGAACTGATGCCTCTCAAACTCTTTGAAGATGGAGTTTTGCAGACCAGCGTATTTTTACTTGTATGATCCAGTGCGTAATTGCAGCCTATCCCTCTTTACAGGCTGCTTTACCTTGGGTAGAAATTTCAGAAACATAAGTGAACTACCAGCTGCAAGCTTATTTTGAGAGGGTCAAGGTCTCATGGAAAGCCTGTGGAGTTGCAGCTGGACTGAAGCTGTGCTGAAAATGAGCTCTTCCCAGTTGGGTTAAGCTAATTCAGAAAAATGAGGTTTTAGTCTGGAGCAAGGGTGTCTTCAAGGAGGTTTTGATGCAAGTGTATCAGGTTAATTATTGTTAATTAGCTATTCCCGTAACTGTCCAGAGGAAATGAGCCCTAAGTCACTTAGTCCCTTTTGAAAATGAAAATGTTGTCTTTCTCTACCTGGTAGTTGCAGGCTGTGATTATTCACACAGCATTGTTTTTGCTCACAGACTTCACCTGGAGCTTTGGAAAGGGGAGGATTTGCAAACACTAAATAAAAAATGGCATGATATATTCAGCCACGCTGTTTGCATGCAAAGGTAGCAACTGCTTTAGAGAACCAACATTACCTGCGTGCTGTGCACAAATGAAAACGTGGGTCACTCCACCTGCTATGCCAGAAACTCTGAG